AGGATGGACTCACTCTTTTTGAAGTTCTGACAGTAACACATGCGCTTTTCTGGTGTGTGCTTTGCAGAAGTGAAATTTGTCTGTCAAACTCCTGCGATTGCTGACATTGTAATACTGGTCGATGGTTCATGGAGCATTGGAAGATTCAACTTCAGACTGGTTCGGCTTTTCTTGGAAAACCTGGTTACAGCATTTGATGTGGGCTCAGAGAAAACACGAATTGGTATAATTTCTATTATTAGCAGTAGCAGTCAGTTGTCAGTGCAAAACTGCTGGGAAATGCTTTAAGAAATTTTAAAAACTCCTTATCAAAGTGACTTTCAGAATTGCAGGATACCCATGGTCCCAAAAGCACACGTTTGGATCAGTAAATATTTGTTCCTTCTAATTTTTGCTATGACACTGTCATTCAATTATTGAACATATTTTAATTTTCTGAAAAGTCAAGGTCTTCCTGGTTAATAATAATCATCATCATAACACTTTAAAAGTTACAGCTGGTTTAAGAATTTATTGCATAGCAGTTTTAATTAAAAAAAAAAGCTAAATCTAGGAAAATGTTGAATTAAGAAAATTGGCAATCATTTTATAGTACAAGATAATCTTTACCAAATTATTTCTAGCCCAGAAGAAGCAAAAAAAGTTGTAAATCTTTGAGCAATATTACACATAATAAAAATAATAAATCTTTATTAAAGTCTCCTAGTTTAACTTTTAAATAGCCATCAAGAAAAATCACTCCTTTGAGAATAAACAACAAATAGATCTAGACCTTTTATCTACAAACATAATCAGGTTTTTTTGCTTTAAATGCCAGGTATCTAGTTGGGTGCTCATTTATAAATGGCTAGAAAAGATGTACAATCCCTCAAAAAGACTTGCTGAGTAAGATCAATTAAAGGAATCAAGTTAGACAACCCCCATGTATGTCTAACTTGATTCCTTTAATTGATCTTACTCAGCAAGTCTTTTTGAAAATATATAGCCTTCCCCCAAGCAAAAAATGTTGCAAAGATGAGGCCTTTCATCATTCTAGTTTCTTGAGTAGCCCACTAGATTTTTGCATAATCCATTATTCCTGGTGAGTGTCCTAATCCTTTTTTCCAGGTCTTGCACAGTATAGTGGTGACCCCAGAATAGAATGGCACTTGAATGCATTTAACACAAAAGATGAGGTGATTGAAGCGGTCCGAAACCTCCCATATAAAGGAGGAAATACACTAACAGGTATGTTTTGTTTAATCCATGTTATAACAACATATCTTATTGAACAATAATTGTATTACCTCATTTTCCCATTTTGTATGAGTTATGTTTTAATGAAACTAGCACTTAGGATTCTTTGATGTCTGTTTTTCCAAACGCAGCATTGAGTAAAAAGCTATGTATCTCATTCCTTTTACCCTGTGACTACAATGTCCCAGGAAGGGCTTGGTGGGGCTAGCAGAGAATGAAGCAAACCCTGAGACCAACAGAGTGGAGTAGCTGTCTAACCTTTGCCAGCTAATCTCTTCACCACTTTTCTCCTCCTGCCATCCTCCACCGTGTATTTAAATAAAAACAAATGTCAAATTTCTTCTTATTTTCAAAGAAGGTGTTTTCTATGCCCATATTCTACAATCATTAGTTATTATGAAAATAGCATGAAATAATTTTTTGAAAAGTCAGGATCCTCTCCGTTAATAATAATATGGATATTTGGCTGACCAGTATTTTTGATGAATGATAAATATAAGAATATTAACATTATATTCATTATGGCACAATCACAAGGGGTTTGTACAGATTTTAACCTTGGGACATGCTGCAGGCTGAGCATCCCAAATCTGAAAATCCAAAATGTTTGAGTGCCAACATGATGCTTAAAAAAAAATGCTAATCGAAGCATTTCAGGTTTTGAATTTTTAGATTTGGGATGCTCAACCAGAAAATACAATGCAAATATTCCCAAATCCCAAAATACCTGAAATCCAAAATAATTCCGGTCTCAAGGATTTTGAATACTGGATATTCAACCTGTATTGCCTACCACAGGTATGTATTATAGATGCTCAGATAAAGCAATGTAGATGCTATTATTGAATTTTAGGTAAATCAGTAGAATCCTAATCATTGCTTTGCCAAATTGAGGCAAAATCTGGTGGAATTTTTGTTAATGTAGCAAACAATTTATTAAACACAAATCCTGTAACAATATTGCACCATTCCTTATTTTTTTCTGGGTGGAAAGTGTCATACTCAAAAGGCAGGAGTACGATTAATGACTTTAGATTTGTCCCTTCTACTCCTAAAAAAACAAAGAGAGGGATTTTTTCATTCTTTAGAATATCGCAAACAAGATTGAAAACCTAATGATAACACACTACTGTATGAGTATTCTTGCTTCATCCTAAATGTTGAAGGTTCAGATATGCTTGTACACACCACAAGATCTATTATCACCCATTGGCCATGAATTCAGTGTTCTTTATAAATGCTAGTTTCTGAAAGAATGCAGTAGTTAATTATTTTCATTACCTTTATTCCAGTGGATTTTAGTTTCTCACTGAATCTGTGAAGGACAAGTTTGTTAAAAAAAAATGGAGATTCACATGTCATAAAAACTCCTGTGACTCAATAAGTTACCCATCTTGTGGTTGTCTTTTGGAGAATTAAGAGACTTTTTATTAGAGATGGTTGGTGTTTATTTTTCCTTGTTTTCTCGAAGGTCTTGCTTTGAACTACATTTTTGAAAATAGCTTCAAACCAGAAGCAGGATCCAGGACTGGAGTATCCAAAATTGGCATTTTAATCACAGATGGAAAATCCCAAGATGACATTATTCCACCATCTAGAAACCTTCGTGAGTCTGGTGTAGAACTGTTTGCCATAGGTATGTATTCTTTATAGTCTTGTTTCAACAAAGAGAATGGACCCACAACCATTTAAAACAATATGTGATGTGAAATGCACTTCAGCGAAAGCCAGGAGACCTGAGCACTTTTGAGTTTTGGCCCTTGTCAACCAGCCCTGTGATCTGAGCCCAGCTTCCTTACATTTAAAATGGGAATGATGCTAGCTGTCATGTATCCCATGGTATGAGGATTTCTAAGTGAGGTGTGATATATAAAATGTTGCAAAATGCATAAAGTGGCATGCAAAGGTCAGGTACATGTTTGTTACTGTTTAATAAGTCACCACTTTCTCTTAAAGGTCACTTTATAGCTATCTCTTTCCAGATAGTACAGGAAGAATCCAATTTATCATTTTCAAGGAATTAGGAACCTGCAGCAACTTAGAAAAGACACAAAGTTCAAGATTTGCAGTAGTTCTTATCTGAAACTAACCCTTTATAAGGTATCCTTTTTGTGTGGTAAAACATATACATATCACATATCCAGAATACAAAATATTTAGATGATGCAACTTTGCCGTTGATTAAAATGTTAACATTTTCTTTGGCAATGAGAAGGTCTTCTATTTAGTAGAGAACAACAAACTTTCTCAGCGGAGAAAATGCCTGATTCCCAAGCAACACTGAAATACAAACCAAAATATAACAGCAAATTCCTTAGCAGGGCTCTGAAGACATTTGAAATTGGTTATCATGAACGGTCCCTTTTATTATGTTTTACATATTTAATTATTTTATTTGTGATCAGTCTTTAGCCCAAATCAAATGCATTTATCTTTCTGCATTTATCAAGAATAGGGTGCGTTTTTCTTTTGTGAACTTTCCATGAGATAATTCTATCAAAGCAGAGTACTCTCTACCCTGGTGTTACAGACCCAGTTATAGTGGGTGTTGGCATAAAAAATACATATTTCAGGGTACTATTCTACTCCTATGAAATGGAACTATCCAGGGAGAAGGGGCCATGGAATATGTGTTTTAAAACCATGCCCAGATCTGTACCTTAAAATCATTCTCCAGGACTGAGCTATTGGTAAGCCCACGGAAATATCTCCTTTAAATTGGTAAGTTTCCCTCCCTTAGAGAAACATCCTAAAAAGTTTTCCTATTTATATATATTTTTTTCATCAGAGGATGTTTTGGATTATTTTTTCAGAACTTGTTTCCTGCTAGTATGTAGCCAAGTACAGCATCAGAACAGCTGCAGAAGCTGTGGATACTATGGTGTTCCCTCCTGTTTCTTTTGCAGGGATGCTACAGCATCTCTAAGCAGTGAGTTCCCAGAGGTTCATATTGAATCTTCTTCCCTTTTTCATCCTAATCCCCTATCCCAGTGCTTGACACTTAAAAAGCATCCAATAAATGGCTATTTAATAATTTAGTGCTCTAAAGAATTTCTAAGATAGCATTATTACACTTAGTAGTAAAAATAAAAATGTTCATGAAAGATACATATGAGAGAAATATGTTATTATTCAAGTAAGTGAAGTATATTATCCTATAGTAATACAGCCATTACTGCTACGTTTTTCCTTTACAGAAGAAAGAACAAAAGAAATCCAGGGAAAAAATAAAAAAATGTATTATGTTCGAACTTTGTTTTGGTGAATTACAACCTTGTTATTTTATGTGCATGTGTGCGTGGTGTGGGGGAGGTAGGTGTCATAGCTCAGTGGCGTGCTGTAGTCAGCTCATACCAGTTTGCAAGAGCCAACTGTGCACATCTCTTCCCAAGTCTGAATCCTGTGACCTCATATTGGTAGTTTGGAATAAGCTATGGTAGGGTATTTATTCTACAAAAAGTGACAAACGCTACAAATCAGGGCAGAAAGCTGGCTGTTAAATATTTACCACATTTACCAGCACACCCCTGGAATTTAAATGGGCAATAAATGAGTTTAACTATATGGTAACTTCACTCCTAAAGATGAATGTGAAGTTGGTCTTAGGAGTTGAGTTAAATTTGCTTGGCAGGAACATTTCTTACCCTGGAATTTAACAGGACATCTTTTAGAGTTATCAATGAAAAAAAAAAAAATCTTCAGACTCTGTTTTAGATTTGCTACTGACAATGTGGCTTAGAGAATGCTTAATTCAAGAATTATTTGCTTACATACTGTGCATCAGGCATTTTGGAGGCTGTTGAGGTGCAAAGATGAACAAGGCGAAATCCTTACAAAACAAATTCCTCCAAAGTCATGATGACGATTTCCTCTCTTTTCTGTGTAATTGTTAACAGTCAAACTATTTTATTTGGAAAGGTGAGGGAGAGGCAAATTTGGGTCTAAATATCCCAGAATATTCCTTTATAAGTCCAAACTTGTTGGTTTCAACTGTATATCACAGGAAAACATTGTTGGCACAAAACCACTGCTTCAACATGCACTCAATGTTATATTAATTCAGATGTACATTTTAGAAGCAATTGTTTAAGTCCTTCAGGAAAGAACCATCGGAGAGATTTATTTTCCTATCCTTTTGTCCAATAAAGGAAATCTCTGTAAAAGACTTAAACTAATGGAGGATTAATTTATGTGTTTATTCTCCACTTTCTGCTCTTGTTAATGATGAATAGGTGAGTTTTTAAACAAAACTTTAAGTAAATTCATCCAGATGTGATTTAGACTTCTCTGAAAATTATCTGGAAATCAGTATTTATTATCCTGCAACCTCCTAAAGCAAATAGTTCAGAGACAACTAATGCTTTGTTACTCAATATGTTGGGGTTGAAAGATAAATTAATTGGCAGAGCCAGTCATCTAAGAAGTAATTCATGTTGCCCTAGGCAATTTCTCTTCCTTGCTTCTATGGTACCTCCTTTTAATACCCTCTGATGATGGAAACGACGAGGATTATAAAGAAATCCTCCTTGTTTGATGAAACTTGGGGAAGGGAAATCTATCATCACACCCATAAAACTTCACTTCATACCTCTCCTTTTCTATCTCCAACATTGTTGGTAAATGTTTACTTATTTTAATGTGCAGTCTTCTGAGAGGCAGTACATTTAGAGGAACAGTAGTTCCAAACCCATAGGTTTGGTTGTGAGGATTAAAGGTGTTATTATATGGAAACCACTTAATATGGTGCTTGGGGGCACAGCGAGCACACTCTTTTTTAAAGGTTCGTGTTTATACTAGTTTTTGTCCTACTCTAGCCTCTGCTGTATTGCAGACACCCAGCTTTGTGCTTGACCTATAGTCATGGAATTCAGTAGATACTGTGGAAGGTCCAGAAATTTTCTATTTGCATTAGTAAAATTGCAGTGGTTACTAGAAAGCCAATTGTATTTGAGTATATGAAAAAATAATTTTCCCTAGATTTCTCTTTGGCATAATGCTATATAATCATAATTTCAAATGTGTGTGTGTATGTGTATATATATATATGTGTGTGTGTATATATATATACACACACATATATATATATACACATATACACACACATTCATGTATATTTGTTCTAGCAACGTTTCTCAATTTCAGTAAACTTATTTTACAGAAACTTAAACCTGAAGCTTTGATAGTGTAGGATGCTGTTTTAAATACTATTGCTTCTGCAGTATTCATGCAAAACAGAAGTTAGTTTTATGAAGTCATCTCCCTATTAAGATGTATTGAGTAAAATTTATATCTAATTTAAAAATGATTCTGCAACTGACTTTTTCATAAAAAGCAATCTGACGTGAAATGTTTCTCTTGAAAGCGGCAGATGCTTTTAACCAAATTTAAGACTGCAAGTCCACCAGAAGTGGGGAGGGTGACTGAAGCAGCCTTTCAGATGTGGGGGGGTCCCAAGTGTCATTCATCAGGAGATAAGAACATAATCGCTTTCATCTTGTCAGTGGTACATATGCTCACTGTTCCCTTTTTTTGCTTATTTTCATTCTATATGAATAATTTGTTAAAATCAGGGCTATTGTTTTATGTTATATAATAGACATAAGACTTAGCTATATTTTTTCATTACATCTGTTTTTATGTGTGTACATTTTAAAGAAAATTTTATATCTTTAAATGTTATATATTAATATATAATATGATTATATACTATAATTTTATATTTTTAAATATATAAAATTTTCAATATAATTGTATTTAAATATAATTTAAATATTATATATATATATTTAGTGTGTGTGTATATATATATATGTATACATATATATACACACACACACACACATACATACAAGTAGCAGATGATGCTTTGACTGCAGTGAAGATTGACCGGGTCAGTTTAGGCCTATTGCAGTCACTCTTTCCAAGGGGGCATAAAGGTCACCATCCTCCTGTTGTCTTTTGTGTAAGGGGTGAAAAACGCGGATGTGAATGAACTGCAGGAGATCGCCTCTGAACCAGACAGCACTCATGTGTACAATGTTGCTGAATTTGACCTGATGCACACAGTTGTGGAGAGCCTGACGAGGACCGTCTGCTCTAGAGTGGAAGAACAGGACAGAGAAATTAAAGGTAAAATGAGTGACAGAGAGCAGTCCTGTGGATGTCAGTATTACTGTGCACAAGTCGATCGTGAATTGGGAAAATTCTTTTCATTTTTCATGTTGGCTTTCTGAAGACCCCTTATTCTCCTATGACCTGAGTCGTCAGAGTGGAAAAGGGAGCACATTAGCAGGTTTTGTGGGGTTGAAGGAGGGACTCTTTAACCACAAGATAATTTTCTCCATAATGTTACATTTAGATACTTTAAAAAAAATTAAACTTTTAATTTTAAGATAATTATGCATTCAAATACAGTTTGTAAGAAATAATACATAGAAAGATTGTATGCTTTTTACTAGTTTCCCCTAATGGTAAAAACTTATAAAACTATATTACATCACCACGAGCAGGATACTTGTCACTGATACGGGCAAGATACAGCACATTCCATCACAAGGATCACTCCTGTTCCCTTTTATCGTCACCCTCACTTATATCTCTCTCCCACTCTCTAATCACTGAAAACTACCACTCCATCTCGAATATTTTTCATTTCAAAAATATTACGTGAATGGAGTTATGTGGTATGTAACCTTTGGGGACTGGCTTTTTTTATGCAGGAGAATTCCCTGGAAATTGATCCAAATTGTTGCACATGTCAATAGCTCTTTCTTTTTAATTGAGTGTCAGATTCCATGGTAAGGATGTGCCACAGTTTGTTTAACCATTCACACATTGAAGGACACCTGGGTTGCTTTCAGCCTTTGGTGATCATGAATCAAGCTGCTGTGAATGATCATGTAGAAGTTCTTGTGCAAACATAAGTTTTCATTTCTCTGGGATAATGCCCAGTAGTACAATGGCTGGATCATATCCCAGTTGCATGTTTACTTTAGTTTTCATTAAGAGTGGCTTCCTTGCTCCTGGACAGTGGTGAAAGTCCTGGCTCACTGCTAGGTCTCCTCTGACACCATCGGAGAGTGAAGGGGGAGAGGTGCCTCATTACTTCCAGGTAGAGTTGGGGGTCCAGGCAGGCTCTTCATGGGGTCTCCCTTGATATCATAGATAGGATTGTAGGGGAAAAGATTCATTACCATCTGTTGGGGATGAATATCTCTTCTCTACTTGACCTCTCACACCACCCTGGCTGGCATGAGGGGGTTGGGGTGGATATTAGGGCACCCTGTTACAGCCAAGAAAGGAGGAAATTTTGGCTTCCCACTAGGCCTTTGCTGGCATGGGTGAAAGTGTGGCCATGTTTTTTTTTTTTCTGTGGTGTTTGTCTGCAGTAGAACAGTTATTGCCAAAAATGTTTTAAAAGTTTCAATCTTGGTAGGCTGGCCATTTCCTGGTCCTTTGCTAGAGGGGGGAGATTTTGTGAGTGATTTGTAGTCTGTATCTCTTGGTGTTTCTAGGTTGCCAGACACTTTAGCTCCATGTCTGGGATATATTAGTAAAAAGAAGAGGAACTCACCACTGGGAGCTACTGAGTCCTGTAGTTCTGCACTCACTGACCTTCTTCTCTCCCATTTTCAGTGTCTTCTTATGTTTGTCCTGTATATAATTTCCAGAGTTATACTCAGCAAAAGGAATAAAGCACAGCTCTTCTCTTTCTGGGAGCATCATGGATTTTTAGCCCTTGCCCCTCACAATATCATTGGTCTGCAAGTTACGCTTGACTTATAGAAATGTAATCTGAGAAGAGAGTAGTATCCAAGTCTTCTTTTAAGAGTCTGGTTTTATTGGCTGCCTCTGTTGGAACCAGCGTGAAATGGTTCCTTCTGGCCGCATGTCCTTCTCTCTGTCATTATTCTCCCTTCCCCAGGCTAGATCTCTTGGGGCTGGGCGGGGCATCCAAGCAGTAAGATCCTGAATACATTTCTCTGAGCTTCAAAGTCAGGCTGCTTCAGAGCTCAGCTTTTCCAAAATACTCTACATGTGGCTGATGATACAGCATGTAATGAAGTTCCCGACCATAGTTAGTGTTCAAAACAGTATTTAAAAAATTGAGATTATTAAAGTCCCTTAAGTAAGTGCCCTTAAAGGGTGAGAAATTTTAAAGTTTAACCTCTTTATTATTATTTACATATTGTATTCCCTTGCCCCCACTTAGATTTTGCATGTCCTGAATTTTTATTTTTTTTTATTTTTTAATTTTTTTTATTTTTTTTGAGGCAGAGTTTCGCTCTTCTTACCCAGGCTGGAGTGCAATGGCGCAATCTCGGCTCACCGCAACCTCTGCCTCCTGGGTTCAGGCAATTCTCCTGCCTCAGCCTCCTGAGTAGCTGGGATTACAGGCACACGCCACCATGCCCAGCTAATTTTTTGTATTTTTAGTAGAGACGGGGTTTCACCATGTTGACCAGGATGGTCTCGATCTCTTGACCTCGTGATCCACCCGCCTCGGCCTCCCAAAGTGCTGGGATTACAGGCGTGAGCCACCGCGCCCGGCTGTCCTGAATTTTTATAGAATCATTTGCTTTAACACGTGTAACCCACATACACACAATGCTTACATAGTGCTAGCTCATAGTGGGTGTTTAGTATACGTTAGTTGCTTTTTCTTTTTTTGTTTTTTTAATTTTTAGATATTAGTCACTTGTTGAATTAAAATTTTTAGTACAGAGGCTATCTTCTCTGATGCTTAAAAATACAGACTCTTGTGTCAAGCCCAGATATCAATGTCAACTCTGATACTAACTGTGAGACCTTGCTCAGGTTAGCTAACTTCACTGTGTCTTGGTTTTCGCACATACAAAGAGTGAACCATAATAGGAACCTGGGAGAAGTAAATGAGATGAAACTTCTAAAGACTCTGAAGGGCACCTTTCAATACACACATGCTTAGCTAATATTTGTTTTTATCATTCACAACAATGACCTCAATTTAAGAAAGTTCTCTGGAGTCAAGAACTGTCTTATTTAAGTTTGGTATCCTCAGAGCTTAGCATGCTACCTGGCACCTAATAGACATTTAAATGCTTGAATGAACAAATGGATAACTGAATCAACTTATCTAAAGAGAAAAATCTTACAGGCAGCATAAAATCCATATTTATTTCTGTCTAATGGGATGTCTTAGATTTGTAAGAAATAACTTTGGGTAAGAGGTTTATTTGATGTGTTTCTTTAATTTAGCCTCAGCCCATGCCATCATTGGGCCGCCTACAGAGTTGATTACTTCTGAAGTCACTGCCAGAAGCTTTATGGTTAACTGGACTCACGCCCCAGGAAATGTGGAAAAATACAGAGTTGTGTATTATCCTACCAGGGGTGGAAAACCAGACGAGGTAATAAGGAGACAGCATTTTTAAGCCATTCTTTTCATTCTCTCAGGTCTTCTACAGTAGTGAGAACAGGCAGAAATATAAGATTATTCTGTCACAGACATTTTAAATAATTTGACTGAAATACATTTCCACTTGTTCACATTGTTCTCCCACATCTCTGAGTTGTAGCAATTACATCTTCTCTCATGTCTCCAAATAACACTCAGAACTGGTCAGGTATGAATTTCTAATACAACTTATTTTTCTTCTTAAAGTTAATAAGTTCTAAAGTTAAAACTTATCAGTAGCTAATTATCTGGCCAGGACCCCTTTTGCTATTTGTGCATTCTTTCTACTTGGAAGTGGTCTGAGCTTTCTGTCATAGTGAAGTCTGTACATTCCAAATTATGTGGTCATGTAATGCACTAGTCCTCCAAGGCTTGGAGTTTGCTGGACATTTATAGGGATTAGTGCAATGGAAAAGCCATAATAAAGCAGCTGTGGCCAGCATTTTTTACGGCTTGGCCAACATAGGCGAGAACACCTCTTGCCACATGATTGGATCCTTCTCATTTCTTACCTTTGATACCACAATTCACAGGGAATGTGTTAAAACATGATGAAATTCCCCTTTCTTTTTGTTATTCTAACCTCTGATTGACCTCAGCATATTTCACAATGTTCTGTATTATGGTAGGATTTATGATATTTTTTAAGTGTTAGAGAAGTAGCTTGTGGAGTCTTAAATCATTTGGATCAAAAAAAAAATCTGACCGTTTCCAATGATTCTTTTATTTTTCATGACTAATAAATCTTTTAAGTGCTTCCCAAAGCTTTATGGAAAAATATCACGTTTACTGTTATTAAGTGAATGTGAATAGGATAATAATTAGCCTGGCATTGACACAATTATTTCTATTAGATGTGAACTAATAAGGGACTTCTGGACAGAGTCCATAAAAGGCACATCACTTCATGTAGGAATTCGGAGATAGTTGACTGCTACAGTGGAAAGGAGGATGTGACACAAGCAAGAAAGTATTCAATGAAATGTCCTTACTAGGCAGATTTTCACTTTTTGATTTCAATTCTGTGTATAAGATATTTCATACTCATTACTCAAACTGTCCTTTAAACAGGTGGTGGTAGATGGAAGTGTATCTTCCACGGTGTTGAAAAGCTTGATGTCTCTAACTGAATATCAGATAGCAGTCTTTGCAATATATGCCCACACTGCTAGTGAAGGCCTACGGGGAACTGAAACTACACGTACGTATTTAATTCTACCCCACTTCTAACTTTGTGGAGCGCTGCTTAGGCAGCCTTTCTTGCATTGAAATTCTGCTCAGGTCGTGGCGATAGCCATCCTGAATCACATTCGTAGAAGACATTTGTCATGCTATAGGTGGTACCGGTCCATGCTGGAGCTGTAGTCTTGCAGATGCTACATCTTGAAAAAGATGTTATAAATCTCTGATAGGCTTAAAAGCAATCTCAGTGGTGAGGAGTACAAAAAATTCATTCATTTATTAAATAAGTATTTAGTAAATGCCTATTATGAACCAAGAACTGTGCTGAAATGTGTGAGTAGAAGTAGAGAAAAAACTCCATAGCTCTCCTGCCCAGTAGAATGACAAGGAAATTATGTTCCTATCTTTATGGTTCATATCGCTGTAGGTAAAACAAGCTTCTGAATACTAATAATTCCCTCCCTGAGTAGGATCATAATAATTCACACAACAACATATACACATAACATACACGCATGTGCGTACACACAGAATCGTGAGAACAGATAATATTTTTAAAAAAGATCAAACATTTTGTAATCATTTCTAACTTTAACTGAGTTCCTATTACATGTGAGGCACTATGCAAAATTGCTCTAAAAAACCTGCCTCTGATAGAACAATAACAGTCTTCTATCAGATTGAGTTAACTTGGTAAATAGTTTTAAGTCAAAAATAAATGATTTTGTCTCATTAGATTATGATATACCATATTTACCAAATGCCCTCTACTTATATCAATATTGTATTAGCATACACCATATCACTACTGGGTATATTAGTCTGTCAAGACTAATCACAATGCATTAGGCACTGTGATTATCACTCTTTATACTTTGTTGAATTTATCCCTAGCAACAATCTGTCAGATGAGTGTTAATGCCCTTACTTTGGAGAAATATTTTAGTGACAATCCCTATTTGCAAGGATGTTTTAGTGAGCCTGGCAACATGGTGAAACCCAGTCTCTATAAAGAATACAAAAATTAGCTGGGCATGGTGGCTCACAGCTGTGGTCCCAGCTACTTGTAAGGCTGAGGTGGGAGGATTGCTTGAGCCCAGGAGGTAGAGGTTGCAGCCAAGATTGCACCACTGCACTCCAGCCTGGATGAGAGAAAAAGAATAGATCTCAAAATGAATGAATGAATGAATGAAAAAAATGTTTTAGTGTAGTAGGGGATGGGGATGCAAACCAAAGACATGCAAACAGATTAGTGCAATGAAGGGCTGTAAGCAGTTCCATAGATGTGTGTACAAGGAGCTGCAAATGTCAGTAAAGTCCTAAACTTGACATTGTGGTTAGAAGAGTAGGTAGGGCCACATTATGGAGGATCTAGAATCATATTTGAAAACAACAATGTTTCCTGTGTTTTCATCAGCATCGTTTAACCCAGGAACTTGCAATTTATTCTTAATCCCTTTCTCCCTTCCCCTCAAATATGGCCAATCTTATTTCTTGATAATTTCATTTTTCTCAAAGACACATATGTAAGCGGCTGAACAATTTTAAAAACATCTCTTGCAGTTGCTTTACCCATGGCTTCCGACCTTCTACTGTATGATGTGACTGAGAACAGCATGCGAGTCAGATGGGATGCCGTGCCTGGAGCCTCGGGTTACCTGATTCTTTATGCTCCTCTAACAGAGGGTCTGGCTGGGGATGAAAAAGAGGTAACCACCTGCTACCTACTACAGTCCTAGAATAAAATTTTATTGTAAAAATTTAATGTATAAAATTTAGAAAAATCAGATTAGCAAAAAGAAAAAACATCACTTGTAATCCCACCACCGAGAGATAGCCATTGTTAACCTTTAGTTAAGTCTTTGTCAATGCATTTTTAATGCAACAAATGGAAATGGTTTTGTAGCCTACTGTTTTCATTTTATTTATTGTGAATCTTTTTCCATGTCATTAAAGAATATTTTACAAAGTCATTGTATACACCCATAGTATTCTACTATGTTGGTTTGAACAGGTCATGTTTAATCCTGTTAAACCATGGACATTTAGATAGCTTGCTATATAAATAATGCTTTTGTGAATATACCTAAAATACATCTTTGCATAATTGTTTGATTATTTCCCTAGGATAAATTCCTAGAAATAGCCGGGCGCGGTGGCTCAAGCCTGTAATCCCAGCACTTTGGGAGGCCGAGGCGGGTGGATCACGAGGTCAAGAGATCGAGACCATCCTGGTCAACACGGTGAAACCCCGTCTCTACTAAATGTACAAAACATTATCTGGGCATGGTGGCGCATGCCTATAATCCCAGCTACTCAGGAGGTTGAGGCAGGAGAATTGCCTGAACCCAGGAGGCGGAGGTTGCGGTGAGCCGAGATCGCGCCATTGCACTCCAGCCTGGGTAACAAGNTGAACCCAGGAGGCGGAGGTTGCGGTGAGCCGAGATCGCGCCATTGCACTCCAGCCTGGGTAACAAGAGCGAAACTCAAAAAAAAAAAAAAAAAATTCCTAGAAATAGAGTTTGTTTTTCAGGGGGGTAGGCAAATTATTAGGTTTATGCTCAGTATTGCCAAATGGCTCTAGAGAAATGTTATATATTTTGCTACATGCGGTGCATAAATGACTGTTTTTTCCATATACACTGAATTAAGTTTTTCCCTACTAATTTGAGTGGTAGATAAATATACCTCATCGATGCAAATTTTTAAAATTTATTCCATTTTAAATGATGAAGCTTTGACCTTCGAATGACTTTCAAATATTTTAGTCCTTATTCTTAACATGTAGGGGACAGTAGCGACAATGCAGACATTTAAGTAATGAAAAGGATGTGTATTGACCAGGCAGGTGGGGTTAATAAGCAAAGCAGTTCAGAAAACTTGATTGTCTAAAATTGCATACAGCCTGTCCCTGATGACTGAAATCTTTAGGGTGAAAATATGGTGAATCTGAGTATCAAGAACAGAGTATTGGTGATGTGCGTCTTCTTATTTCCAAGGCTTAGATGGTTTTTGCCTATTTGAATTTAAAGTCGATCTAAATTATTTTGACAAAAGAGAGATTTACAAATGGTGCTGAGAAGATGGTCAGCCTCTCTATGAAAGAGGAAAAAAATTAAAGAAATAGTTTATAATCAGTAAATTAGCAAAAAAATGTTAAAGTCTTATAATACTGTGTATTCATAATCACACAGGAAGACAGTCACTCCTGTAACTGCTGGTGGTACAGCTGCTTTGGAGGATATTTTGAAATAGTTCATCCTGTTAAAGATATATACTATTTTTTGGAAATGTATCGTAGGGAAACATCTTGCAAGCATTTTTCAGTGCAGGCACTTGGTTGAAATAAAACATTGCAAACAACTAACATGCCTCTTAATAGAGGGATGGAAAGTAGTGGTATATTTATAGAAAAGAATACCATAAAGGAATTCATGATGTCAACTCTGTCCTTGTATATCAACATGGATAAATCTCAAAACATATTAACACAGAAAAAAATTGTGTTGATATGGTTCCATTATGTGCATTTTTAAACATACAGGATCATATATTGTTAATAGATATGTCTGTACACATACAGAACTACAAAAATGCAGCAGTAAGATACACGTCAACCTCAGGGTGTAAGTGGTGAACAGAAAGAATGAGAAAGACCTTTTGTTTTATCTGAATGTATTAGTTTTAAAAAAAATAAAATCTGAAGTTAATATGACAAAAATTTGATATTTATCCAGTTTGAGTAATGGGTACATTGGTGTGTATTATATTATTTTCTGTATGTTTATGTTATACATGTTGAGATAGTTCAAAATTCAAAATTTTAACTTGATGATTAACAGTGGCAGTCTTGTGCCTGTAGATTTTTTTTTTCTTCCAAAACATAAAACTGTCCTCTCACTCTATTGTTACACAACTGAGAATGTTGGCTAGTTTGACTGAATCCAAGGGTCAGAAAAGGTGTTCAAGAATCAAAACAGCAAATTGCCAAGTTGGGTGTCAGGGTGAGTTGATCCCTTCTGAATACTGGAAGTAACTTGCAATTCAACGGCATGGATTCCCTTGTTGAATGGGGCCACAAAACTGGCCCAGCTTCATTGAGTTTGAAGCAAAAACTGGGCATCTGGCCAGAGCACTGGTTAGAATTAGCCAAACAGTGAAAGATGCCCACTTGGCCTTGCCTCCAGCACACTGGCCTGGAGCTCACAGTCTCTAGAGAGCATTTCTGATTCAATCCCACCCACCCTCTCCTGGGGAGCATATACTCAACATTGTTATTCTGGCTGCAGTTGCCGTTTGTCCAGATGTAAAGAGTTATCCTCACAGCTCACATGGTACTTTTCGACTTATATGGTTCCATAATATCTGTTCCTAATATAAAATGACATGGGACAATTTGAAAATTATGACTGAAGCCTGTTTGATGAAGGGGTTGTGAGGAGACTAAAGTCTTATCCCATGAAGTCTCACCTTTGTTCAGATCCACACTGATCAGCATTAATAATATGCATTGGCAAATGATCTAACAACATGTGTTCTTTTCAGATGAAAATTGGAGAGACCCACACGGATATTGAATTGAGTGGGTTGTTGCCCAATACAGAATACACAGTCACAGTTTATGCCATGTTTGGAGAAGAGGCCAGCGATCCTGTTACGGGACAAGAAACAACACGTGAGCAGCCCAGCCATTCAGATGAGATGTTGTAGTAAAAGCCTACATGAATGTTGGGATTCTGAATTGGAACTACTAGTTTAGGTTGAAACCTCTTAAAAGCTAATTGTCATTTTAAAAATCTCATATTCTATTTAGGACAAGGAAATGTGTTTCTTATATCTTATATTATTATGAATGATATGGATGCTAGAACTGAAGATTAGCATCCTCCAGATAACTCCACCTGTGCCTTTCTTTGTCTAAATTCAAATGCGGGTCAGAACATAGAGGGAAGAGCGTAGACTTTGCAAGATAGCAGCTGAGATGGGAATCTCAGCTCAACTCATATTTTAGCCAGGTGACAATGGGTGAGTGATGTAACTTTTTTTGATTGTATAAAAGGAGGAACACTAATCTTATAGCATGCAGTTGATTTAAGATGAAATACAGTAGTATATGTGAAAAGACTCAGCACATTGTTACTGAAGATGTTTGCTTTCCACTCACTTTGAAATTAACAAACCTTTTTTCCTAAAAATCTTTGCTATCTTTATCTGAGCCTATTACTACTGTAATTTGTTTTTAATTGAGTAAAAATTTTATCAGTAAGGCTAATTTTGGCTAAATATAGGGAATTCCTAATACTTTTTGGGGAATGTATGTATTTATTTTAAAAATATGAGATAAATAAAATATGACTATGGCATACTAATAATACTTACCACATATTATTAAATTATGGCTCTGTTTATGATCTTTTGAAACATAAGAAAGTACAGGGAGACTTGGGGTCTTGCTTGTGACTTTTCTCCTAGAAATGGAGGGAGATGAATTGCACAATTCTACAATGCCTTTCTTTTTAAGATTCTATTTGGGAAACAAAATAGAAGTTTATTGATAAAGAAGTTTGTACATATCCATTCTTTGTTAGTCAAGGCTGTGTTGTTCTTGCTCTTTAGAGAAAGACCAGTGTAATTAAAACAACAAAGAAACAAACAAAACTCTGGGAGAGCCCAAGAAAGAGAAAGAAAAGAAATGAATCATGCTAGAAAGCGTCTACCACAAAAGTAAATTCTGGGACTCTTAACCATTTGAAAGGGAAGCTTTCCCCAACAGCTCATCTCTCTTTCACTCAGAGTGTACACTTCTTTATACTTATGAAAAATATGTACAACTCCATCCCATCATGAGCAAAAAGGTCCTAAAAAATGATATCCTAGATACTTGTTCTTGAGACTGGCATTTTTATGTACTAAGTAAATTAGACATTATTCCATCATATTACCAAATGTAATGGAATTCCAGAAAAATTTAGAGCCAAATGTGCACACTACTTAGTTATATTGCTTTTTTTTTCTTTTCTACACTTTCTCTCTATCACTTTAATTATTAAGAGAGTCACTAACTCCTATAAGATCTTTATTGTCAAAGAATCAGTATGTATTGAATTAATGAAAGATCTGGGCTTTGAGGTTAGGAAACATGCTTCATGTATGTGGCTGGTAATTGTCATGATTTGTCTTCAAGTCTTTTGCTTTGCCGGCTCTATCAGCACTGAGTCAGTGGGGTGAGAGAGTGTGATCAAGAGAAGGAAACACAGGGAGAAATTAGCATCTTGGTTAATATCATGGGCTTTGGAATCAGTTAATCAATTGCCTAGGTTAAACTCTAATGCTCTTCTGTTCCTACTAACTGGGACCTTGGCCAAGTTACTTCAATTTTGTGATCAATTATAAGGAGATAATTGAAACTCTATCTTTGCATTCTAATATAAGAATTTAATAAAGTAACATATGTTCTGTGTCAGACTGATAGAAAACACTCAGTAAATGTTAATTATTTTTACTATAAATAGTAAAATAGTATAAAGTATAATATAGTATACTTTATACTATAATAGTATAATATATACTAAATAGTAAAATAGTATAAAGTATAATATAGTATACTTTATACTATAATAGTATAATATATACTAAAAATAGTATAATAGTAAAATAGTATAAAGCTCATGAAATTGTCAAAAGTTATGGACAATTGTTAATTTTTTTAATTAGAAGGGGGTCCTTGAAGAGGTTCAAAAAGCTGTATTGACTGTTAGGAATCTGCAGAAAGACCAATACCTCTTTAATTTTAAAGCAATAGTAAGATGTTTATTGTTATTTGTCTCACAAAGCCACTGTAGATTTATTCAGGTCAAATAATTATCCACTGATTCAATGAATGTCTATTGAGTACTTGCTATATTTGGGGTAGATCTGGGAACAAAATGAAACCAAATTATCTAACCCCCTGAAATTCCAATATACTGGGGGAGAGGGACAGCAAATCAGAAATATCTAGTGAAAAAAATACAGCAAAATTATCAATTATCAAATTATAAATTTCAATGATCTCCTTATAATTGATCACAAAGAAGGAGATAGGTATAATGGGGTGGAAGAGCTGTTTTACATAAGATGATCATAGAAAGCTTCACCAAGAAGGCGTGTGGTCAGAAACCTGAAAGAGGCAAAGAAACCAGCTATGAGAATATCTGGGGAAGAGCCTTGAAGGCAAAGAGAGGGCAAGTGCAGTGACCTACATATGAGAATGCATGGCAGGTTCTAGTCACAGCTAGTGGCATGGAAAAGGCATGGAGTAGTAGGATATGGGAACAGCGAAATGGCAACAGGCCAGTCATGTAGGGCCATAAAGACCATTCTAGGCTGGCTGCAGTTGCTCACACCGGTAACGCCAGCACTTTGGGAGGTCAAGGCAGGCAGATCACCTGAGGTTCAGAGTTTAAGCTCAGCCTGACCAACAAGGTGAAACCCTGTCTCTATCAAAAATACAAAAACTAGCAAGGTGTGGTGACACATGCTTGTAATCCCAGCTACCCAGGGGGCTGAGGCATGAGGATCACTTAAACCTGGGAGGCAGAGGTTGCAGTAAGCTGAGATCTTGTCACTGCGCTCTAGCCTGGATGACAGAGCAAGACTCTGTCTCACCAAAAAAAAAAAAAAAAAAAAAAAAAGATTGTTCTAAGAACTGTGGGTTTACACTGAGGGAGTTGGGAGCCATTTGGAAGGTTTTGTGCAGAGGAGTGAAATTACCTGGCTGACATTTTAAAAGAAGCACTCTGGCTGCTTGCTCAAGAATAATTATATTAATAGTAGGAGGAAGATGGAAGTTGGGAGATTGGCTGGGAGACCGTGGCAAAAATCCAAGCCCAGAGGGAATAGTGGCTTCCACTAAGATGGTAGCAGCGGAGGTGAAGAGAAGGGATCAGCTCTGGATACATATGGAAGGGATCATATCTGGATGATGGGTTAGAAGTGGGTTGTGAGAGAAAGAGCAATACAGATGGCTCCAAGGTTCTTGACCTGATCAGTGGGAACAATAGAGTTTCCATTTGCTCGGAGGGGAAGATTGAGGGAGGAGGGAATAGGGAAAGGTATCAAGAGTCAGTGATTCCATTTGGACCGGTTAAGTTGGAGTTGCCTAACAGATACCAATGTGGAAATGGCAGATGAGCATATCATTTTACATGTGGAAAATTGTGGAGCTGAGAAGTACAGTGACTTTGCCAGAGTCACATGGTAATTGAGTGGACTAGCTAAAATTTTATTTCAAGTTAATTTTTTTTAATCCATTAGATTTCTTACTTATATCAGGCTTGAGTGATAAGCACAGAAACTTTACCTAAATATTATTTATCTCTAACCATATGTAACTTATTACTGCTATTTATTCTCTACAAAGAAAACTTTTTCCTTTGCTAATTAGAGAACATTATTGATTTTCATGAGACAATACACTGGTTATTTCAGTGTTATTACAAGTTATTATCTGGATGACACTTTTCATATGTAAATAGTTTAGAAGTCAAAGATGCAGTTTCTTTGATTTCTGGAAGTCAAAAGATCCTTTTTACATGTATGTTATTTGACATTTTAATTATTTTCTATTCCATTTACTGCCAAGTGGCTTTAAGTCCACCAAGAAACCTGAGAATCTCCAATGTTGGCTCTAACAGTGCTCGAATAACCTGGGACCCCACTTCAAGACAGATCAATGGTTATCGAATCGTATACAACAATGCAGATGGGACTGAAATCAATGAGGTAAGTTCTGGAATATAACACATCTTTTAGGTGGTGGGGTGCTAGTTATTTATGGCTACATAACCAATCATCTCAAAGCCTAGTGGCTTAAAATAATAGTAATTATTTATTGTCTCATAGTTCCTGTAGGTCAGGAATTGGGGTGTGGATTGCAATTATCCTGGAGAAGGGAGAGGCGCTCCCCTGTGAGGTTAGAGCCAGATAGTGGCTGGAGCCAGAGCCGTCTCAATGGCTTCTTTACTCATGTATCTGGTGCCTGGTCTGGGGAGACTGGAACAGCCAGGAGCTGCAGCAGGCCTCCATATCTCTAATTCGCCTGTTCACATGATGCCTTCAGCATGCAGCTTCAGGGGAGTTGGCTCAGGAGTCCCATAACACTTGTCCAAAGAGAGAGAGAGAGTGCTAAGTAGAAGCTGTATCACCATTAATGACCCAGCCTCTGAAGTCACTTTATATCACCTCTGTCACACTCCTTGGTATGAGATGTCACCAGCTTTGCCCAGATTTATAGGTGGGGAGAAACACAGATCCCACCTGTGGTGGGAGACATGTCAGTCACAGGATAGGAGGAGCATACAGAGAAGAAGATATGCAGTGATGTGGCCGTCCCTGGAAAATGCAGTCTGCCACAGGGAATGGGGTGGGGAGGATGTATGTTCATGGAAGCATTGAACTAGAAATAAAGTCACTGTTGTCTAGTTCATCCTTCTCCTTTTAAGTAAATTGGTATCTGAAAGGCTCTAGTTAGATAAGCCTAAATTTAACAAATAAATAATTCAAGTTTTGTCTAAGAAGCACTTTCAAACAATGGTACTTGTTAAAACCCATGAAGATACAGTTTATTGGACGCCGTGACTCATACTTTCAAAAAAGCGTTTCCTTGGAAATGTGTTTTAGCAAAATAGTGAGGTTATTTTTATTTTATTTTCCCTAATCTTGGTCCAGTAAGCTAAGACAAAGAGGGAAATTTGTTAGATTGAATCATTTCTATTTTCTGACCAAATAAAGCAAGTGTTTTTACATGCAGAGACAAACTTTTTTCTAAAATTAAAGCCTAGCAGTATTTTACAGAATGCATCCTGTAATGGACGGGCTGTAAGTACACATTTGCTAACATACAGAAATAATGTTCAATATCCTTCATTAAACCTTTGTAAATCTTGAGAGTAAATAACTCTGAAGAATCATTGGAAGAGTTGCTTTGTTTTTGAAGATAGCAGCCTGGAGCAGTAAAAAGATTGAAATAAAAAACACTAAGCTATAGGTGTCTCTTTGTTACCAGTAATACATAAACTACTTTCCCAAGGGTTGTAAATTCAGCTGTGTAGGAGGATGAGGCAGATACTATAAATGAGTGAAGCAAGCTATGAAATCTGTAGAAGCAGACAACACCTGCAAAGAAATACTCCCATGTGTTTTTCTTGAGGCTAACTTAGAATAAATATCCTTTGATATTCAGTCTCATTCTGTTACTCAGGCTGGAGTGCCATGGCACAATCTTGGCTCACAGCAACCTCTGCTTCCTGGATTCAAGTGATTCTCCTGCCTCAGCCTCCTGAGTAGCTGGGACTACAGGTGTGCTTCACTGTGCCCAGATAATTTTTGTATTTTTGGTAGAGATGGGGTTTCACTATGTTGCCCAGGCTGGTCTCGAACTCCTGACCTCAGGCGATCCACCCACCTCGGCCTCCCAAAGTGCTGGGATTACGGACATGAACCACTGCTCCCTTAGGCTGTATTTTGTCTTCCCATTTTGGGGACATGAATGCAGAAAGAAGAAATTATCTGCTGAAATAAAGACAACAAGCAAGACCAATGATAAGTGATAATGGACAATGAGTTTCAATGATAGGGATACTAGGGACTGCTATGATGGGAAGTGTGTGCATCCAAGACACAGCCAATCTCAGCTTCTACTGATTCCTGCTGGATAGAAATCCAGGCAGGGTCTGCCAGATCTTAAGACTCTTGGAGAGACACCAGTGATTTCTATTTTTATGTAAAACCTACCAATTTAAAAGAGTTGACTCATTGAACAACCAAAATAACATGACTGTATTCACCAATAAATATTTGTTCATTGTAGAGCATCCCCCTTTGGTAATAATTTTTAATGAAACAAAAACAAACTTTCTTATATATCAGTTATATTTATAAATATAATTATATAATAAAAATTATAGCTGTTGTCTCAGTCCATTTGGTTTTCTGTAACAAAATACCTTTCCTGGGGAACTTTTATTTATTTATTTATTTAGAGGCAGGGTGTCTGTCACCTAGGTTGAATGCAGTGGTGTGATCGTGACTCACTGCATCCTTGACTTCACAGGCTCAGGTGATCCTCCCACCTCAGCCTCCCAAGTAGCTGGGACTACAGGCGCCTACCACTGTGCCTAGCTAATTTTTGTACAGATGAGGTTTTGCCAAGTTTCCCAGGCTGATCTCAAACCCCTGGTCTCCAGTGATTCGTCTGCCTTGGCTTCCCAAAGTGCTGGAATTACGGGAGTGAGGCTCTGTGCCAGCTTGGGAAACTTAACAACAACAGAAATTTATTGTTCACAGTTCTGGAAGCTGAGAAGTCTAAGATCAAGGCATCTGCATCTGAATTTGCAGGTGTATTCCTCATAGTTGGAGCTTTCTACCTATGTCCTCACTTGGTGGAAGGGGCAGACAAGCTCCCATGGGCCTCTCCAATAGTGGCATTCGTCCCTTATGACCTAATCATCTCTCAAAGACCCCATCTCTTAATACTACTGCATTGGAGATCAAGTACCAACATATGAATCTGTAGGGGGACACAACCTTTCAGACCGTAGCAGCTGCTGTAGCTTCTTCTACTATTTTCTATTATTTGTCTTTGCAAAGTGTTGCCCCAGACCAACATATTTGCTGAGAACATATGTTTGGGTTTTTTTGGTCGTGTTTTTCAATCCTGGGGAAGCTGCTAGAATTAGCTATTTCTGGTAAGTTACGTTTGGTAAAACTGAACATAAAATATGAGAAAATGGACTATGAATGAAGATTTCAGAAAATTTTATTTGAGTAAAATGCATAAGCATAAGCCATGCATGGATTTTGTAACACCTGTTTTGACTGGGGTGTGTGTGTGTGTGTGTGTGTGTGTGTGTGTGTGTGTGTGTTTTCTCATTTCTTAATTCATAGCCATGCTATAGATACTTGAGCTTGCTGGATATGTATCTTTTATTAAAGTAAAGTATTACTTTACCTAATTTTAAAATATATAATTTTAAGGATGAATATTTCTATTGGATTTTGCTTTAATTTCTATGAATTTAAGTTTCTATTTATAGACAATGTAACAACTGGGTTTTTAAGAAATCCTCAAAAAACATTCTGGAATGAACTGTAAAATGTCTCAATTAAAATCTATTTAGTACCTAACATGCAATTGATTATTAATGCTTTTGCTTTACACTCAGTATTTTTCTGCTTTACTTCTCTTATCTTCCTTCTCTCGCTCCTCTTCTTCCCTCTGTCTTTTCTGCATTACCCCTCGCCTCAACTTTTTGGAGACCAAGGAAGGAAAATGAAGCACGTATTTTAATAAATGTCTATGTTGATGATGATGATGATGATGACACTATGATAATGATGGTGATGATGGTGATGATGATGGTGGTGATGATGGTGATGGTGATGATGGTGTTGACAATGGTGGTGATGATGGTGATGATGATGGTGGTGACGATGGTGGTGGTGATCGTGATGATGGTGATGGTGATGATGATGATGGTGGTGACAATGGTGGTGATGATGGTGGTGATGATGGTGATGGTGATGATGGTGATGGTG